TAAGGGAAGGAGAAGTAGCAAGTTACTGGAACCTACTGAGCTAAAGATGAGAGCAAATGAGAAACTTCATGCTGCCTTCGTTTTTTCCCCCCAAGAAAGAGAGGGTGGGATCATTTTAAATTTTAAAATATATTTTATGACTGATAAAAATTATATATATTTAGGATATACCTTTGGGTATATACACAACAGAGGGATTGCTGGATCATAGGTTCTATTTTTAATTTTTGGAGGAATCTTCATACTGTTTTCTACAATGGCTGTACTAATTCATATTCTCACCAACAATGTGCAAGGGTTTTCTTTGCTCCACATCCTCTCCAACACTCGTTATCTTTTGTCTTGTCAATTAATAGCTCTTTTAACAAGTGTGAGGTAATATATTATGGTTTTAATTAAGATTTTCTGACATTTAATGATTTTGAGGATTTTTCATATACCTGTGGAACATTGGTACGTCTTCTTTTGATAAATGTCTATTTAAATCGGGCTATTTTCCTAAATCGGGGCTGTTTCCAATTGAGTTGTGTTTGTTATATATTTTGGATATTAGCCCCTTATAGAATGTATGGTCTGCAAACAATTTTTCCCCATTCCATAGGTTGTCCCTTCATTCTGTTGATTGTTTTCTTGGCTCTGCAGAGGCCTTTTAGTTTGATGTAATTCCATTTGTATATTTTTGCTTTTGCTGTTTGTGTCTTTGAGTTTATATCCCCCTCCAAATGACCAATGTCATGAAGCTTCTCCCCTGTTTCCTCCTATTAGTTTTATAGTTTCAGGTATTTAAGTATTTAATCCATTTTTGACTGATTTTTATATGGTGTGAAATAAAGGTCTAATTTCACTTTTCTACATGTGAATATCCAGTTACCCCAAAACTATTTATTGAAGAGACTGTCCTTTCCTCTTTGTGTGTTCTTGGCACCTTTGTCAAAAATCAGTTGACTAAATACATGGATTTATTTTGCGGTTCTCTATTCTGTTCCAATGGTCTGTGTGTCCATTTAATGCCAGTGACATGCTGCTTTAATTACTCTAACTTTGCAATATAGCTTGAAATCAGGAACTGTGATGCCTCTGGCTTTGTTGTTGCTCAACACTACGTTAGCTCTTCAGTTTTTGTGTGTGTGTGTGTCGTTTCATGTAAATTTTAGGATTGTTTTTTCTATTTCTGTGAAATGCCTTTGGAATTTTGAAAGAGATTGCATTGAGTCTGTAGATTGCTTTGGACAGTGTGGATATTTTAACACTGTTAATCTTTCCAATCTATCAAGGTGGGATATCTTTCCATTTACTTGTGTATTCTACAATTTGTTTCATCAGTATTTTACAGTTTTCATTGTACAGATCTTTCATATCATTGGTTTAATTTATTTTAGGTATTTTATTCTTTTTGATGCTATTGTAAATAGAATTGTTTTCTTGATTTTCAAATAGTTTGTTGTTTTGTTGCTGTTGTATAAAAACACAACTGATTTTTGTATGCTAACTTTGTATCCTGCAACTTTGCTGAACTTGTTCTAAGAGTTTTTATGGTGAAGTCTTTATGATTTTCTATATATAAGATCACGTCATCTGCAAACAGATAATTTTTCTTCCTTTCCTATTTGCATGCCTTTTTTCATTTTCTTGCCTAATGGTTCTGGTGAGGATTTCCAGTAATATGTTGAATAGAAGTGGTGAGAATGGGCATTCTTATTTTATTCTTGATCTTAGAGGAAAAGCTTTCTATCTATCTATCTATCTAATTTTTTTTTTTTTTTTTTTTTGAGACCGTGTCTCACTCTGTCGCTTCACCTGGAGTGCAGTGGAGCGATCTCGACTCACTGCAAGCTCTGCCTTCCAGATTCAGGAGTCATTCTCCTGCCTCAGCCTCCTGAGTAGCTGGGACTACAGGCATCTGCCACCATGCCTGGCTAATTTTTTGTATTTTTAGTAGAGATGGGGTTTCACCGTGTTACCCAGGATGGTCTCGATCTCCTGGCCTTGTGATCCACCCACCTCGGCCTGCCAAAGTGCTGGGATTACAGGCGCGAACCACCGCGCCTGGCCAAAAGCTTTCAATTTTTCACCATTAAGCATGATATTAGCTGTGGGCTTGCCATATATGGTCTTTATTGTGTTGAGGTGCATTCCTTCAATGCCTAATTTATTAACAGATTTTAATCTTGAAAAGATGTTAAACATTGTTGAATTCTTTTTCTGCATTTACTGATACGATCATATGGTTTTTGTCCTATAGTCTGTTAATATCGTATATCATATTTATTGTTTTGTATATGTTAAACCATGCTTATGTTTTAAAATCCTCAACAACTAAACCATAAAGATACTCTAAATACGAAAGATCTCAGTTTTTAAGAAGTTATAAAACTATTTCCATAAATTTGTACTGTAAAATTAAGCAAATATGCTTTCTTAATGTCATTGTAGTGTCTTACAGTAACAATACCCTAACTTTTGGGGGTGCTTTACAGTTCATAATAATACTTTTATATGCATAATGTCACTTGATCTTCACAAGTCCTAACACTTCTTGAGTCAGGACAAATAATTTAGAATATTTGGATTGCTTTCAACTGTGTTTCTGTTGATTATAAGTTTTCCTTTGCCTTTCCATTTACGATAGGGCTTAGGAAAAGTTTCCATAGTGTTATGAGAGAAAATAAGAAGCACTCATTTATTTTGCATTTTGTGGAGTTTGTTTCTATCTGGTGTTGGTTCTTGGCACCCTCTGCATAGTCATAAAATCCTTGGTTGTGCCTGGGGTTGTGCGTCATTTTATTATGAATAAGATAGACCTATGGACTAGCCTACCAAAAGAACTGTGTAGCCTACTTTGATAAAATCCTAGGCTAGCTGGAGCAATATAACTAAATACATTCGAAGTATCAGAGTTCACTAAAATAATTCAGCAAATTGTCCTAAGTATCTTCTGTTTGCAAATACTGGAATATGTGCTTAAAATTTACAATATCACAGGAGAAATAAGAAATGTTCACAGAAGAAGTATAGGATTTTTATGTGTTTGCAAGTTCAGGATATGTGAGCAGAGTGATATTACTGTCAAAAAAACTAATGTGCTCCTGGGCTGCATTACAAGATATCTGGCACACACAACAAAGATGGTGCTACTCTACTGTGTTTTCTTTTATATTCTTATTATATTTCCACACCTGGTGTGTTTACCTATGGACTCAGAAAAATTGGAGCTATCTAGAGGAGAGTGTGTAGAGTGACAGAGGGACTCAAAAAAATGGGATATCACAAAAGTTTGCAAAAACTGTATTTAGGCAGATATTTGAATATATAATAGGAAGGATTATTATTCTGTATCATGAGCAAATGGGAAAATTAAGGCCTTTATAGTGCTCTTATAGGAGATATGTTTGGGCTCAGAATGAGAAAGACTTTGGATAACTTCATGAAGATTTTAATTTAATATTTATTAGGAAATAAATAACTTCTTGTCAAGGGCTTTGACACTGGATAAAGTATTGAATTAGACATATTTAAGGCCCTAAAATTTGATTCTGATTCTTCATGTACATTAATAACTTATAAAACATAACATGATGTCTGTAAGAGAACTATAAAGCCCCACAGAAATACAACATAAAGGTTTTTGGCAGAGGGAATCATTTCAAAAGAATGTAGCATATGAGTTGGGGCTTGAATGATTGGTAGGATTTTGATTGCAATAGCGGACATCTCAAGATAATGATTAAGTGATGTTGAGTGTATGGGGATTGCAACTATACTGCAATTTAGGTATAAAAAGGTAGAATTTTCATTTTGTCTAAACTGATTTGATTATCTTCATGAAATCTCAGTCACTGACAAACAGGGGAGGGGAAATAATGTGTTTTTATTCTAACCCAGAAACTTGGGTTCATTTGGTATTTTAAGCAGTTCCTTAAAGTTCAGGTTCATTAAGTTAAGACTCTTGGTCTCTAAGATTTCCACCTTTTCCTTACATCCTGTTTTAGATAGTATACGGAAATATCAGATAGCCCTAGATACCATTACTTGAGGCATTGGGACAAAGGGTCATTGGGTTTGAACAATTCCTTCAGCCTCCTCTGGTCTCTGAGGTGACATTCCTCATATGCCTAGTTGCTTCAGGTCTTTCACTTGAAGTTGGTAGCTGGAGAAACTCATGGTCTGTGCTTCAGGGTCTGGCAGCCATCTCTGACGGATGGGTCTCATCTCTTTGGTACTTTAGACACTCCTGGTTTAGAAGGTCCACTCTAAACCTTTATTCTTTGCTAAAGGGTCACCTTGCTCTTTTAACACAAAACTTCAGGGAAGATTGAATCGTTCTCAACTCAACCACCTTCTGAGTACTATTGGAGCCAAGGGAACACTTCCCCCTTAGCCCTCTGAAGGTTAGCTGAAAATTACTGGCAAGAGGCAGATTAATAGGAGAAAAGGCATACAAAATTACTTGATTATAGTTTTACATGAAACTTGAACACCACATTTCCAACAGAGGGGAGCCTTCAGAATGAAGACCCAAAGACACAGGAAAAACTGACCATTTTAATTCTTAGGTTCAACAAGGTATGAACAGTCATGAAGAAATATGACTGGACAAAAGGAATATGACCTAATACTAATAGATCGAATAGGGAAACCCAGAAAGGCCTGTCTGTCTAGATTCTTCTTGACCTCTCTGAGCATGCACTTCTTCCTTTTGGCTATGTGGCAGGGCCCTCTCTGGAATGAGTATCTTCTGACCTTCAGTTAAACAAGGTAGGTAAGATAATTTCTTTATGGCCAGTTTTTACACAGAAAAGCAGAAGAAAAGTTAGAGTAATATTTTTAGATTTTATTGCTGGCTTTGGGGAAAAGGAGTTGTGGTTTCTATAACCAACCTTGGGGAACAGGGATTCTAGTTTCTTATAGCTAGCCTCAGGGGAAAATGAGACTCAGAGGCTGGAGGTCAGAAGATGAGAGGAAAAACTTTTACTACAGAGGCCTTTTGTGTGTGTGTGTGGAGGAGGAGGGTATTGTTTTCTGAGTCTCAACAGTATATAGAAACTTATAGCACTCTGGAAAGTCAATGCCTACCCTGTCTCTGCCCTGCTCAAGGTTACTGGAATGTGGTCCCTGTTCAGCCTGATATCTTCCCAGATGTCTAAGAATTGGGAAAGTAATTTCTCTGTCCATGAGTTTTCCCACACCAATCTGGATATTTCTAAAGTCACAACCCCTCACCCTATATCTTCAGGGTGGGAATAGTAAAAATGTTTCTGGTTGCCTTTCTTGATATCTTCTACCTCTTTCCCATAATTCTCCAAGGCAAAGAGAATAGGATTTTCTTCTACTTTACCTACTTCATAGCCACCACCTTCCTTATATCAATCTCTGGCTAAATCCTTCATACTGGACTAAGATACCTTGTCTTCACTATGGGAGAAACCCTATCATTTGGTCCACCAGGCCTAGCCTTGATATGTTGAACCATAAACAAATTTACATTTTATGTCTTGACAATGACTTGATTTGAAGCTTAAAAACTCGATTTTTAAAAATCCTGTATTGAATATCAAAAGTTAAATAGTAAATATTTCTTTTGTATTTTTTATACAAGAATCCAAATCCTCAGCAGACAGGTGCTTTGGATTGACTAGGTTGTACACCCAGAAACTGACATTAATACACTTCTTGAAACATTACCTTTTCTTATTACACAAATATTCTAGCCAATAAATCTGATCATGCTAATGTCCTATTTAAAGCCTTTTAATAATTTCTCATTCCCTTAAGATAAAATCATTTTGGAGATCTTCCTGACCATCTAGTCTAGGTTATAAACCTCGTGTGTGCTTCTACAAGCTCCCATACTTCCTCTTTCTTAACACCCATTCTACTTTTACTTTTTCAATATATATCTTTCTTTATAAATTTGAACCCCAAATTTCCAACACATAGCACAGTGTCCTGGACATAGGTACTTAATAAATATTTACATGAGTTTTTATTAAATGCATGTCTTATTTCTTACTTGTAAATCAGTAACTTGTTATTCTAATTTACACAGTTCCTTTTTTTGAGATTTATAAATTTAAGACTACTCTAAAAAATGAACCCACTGTTGGACTTACAATACCAATTTCTAGTCCTACAGAGCTAGGCTTTCGAACACAGAAAATTCACCAGTAAGTACTCTCTTGTCATATCCTTTGACAGGTAATAACTTACCCTCTCCTTGGGGACACCCCTACCTTAAAACAATAATTCCTTGAAACTTTGAAAACATCCATCTTCATTAATAAGTTCACAATGAAGACTTTTCACTGTAAGATGCCTAATTATCTTTCACAGGTATTTATGAAATTTCAATTGTTCCAAGATTTTTCACAGGTTTATTTTACTTTAAGCTGGTGCTTCCATTTATTGAAGCTTCAATTAACTAGACTTCATCATGTTATGGCTAAACGGATGTGACTAAAAAGAGTAGCATACAGACATCTATGTGTGAACTGTTACTTGTTGGTTAACATTTATGTTTGAAACGGAAAATCAATAAAAGGGAACTTACATTACAAGCACATTAAGAAAAGAGGGGACACTATTTTTGATCCCGAGATAGCAACAAAACTAAAAACTATTCCAAAGAAGCAAATGGGAACAGAGGTCAATAGGCTGTGACCTCTATTTTATTTTTAAAACGTTTGCACATCCACTAAGTACACTGCAGAATCTTAAATGCAATTAATAGCAACGAGCATACAAATTTAGGGTAGCTTGAGGAAGCACAAGTCAATCTTCATTAGCTATTGTAGCAAATATCCCTTCCAAATCCATGGGAGCAGGTGCTGTTTATCCTCCCTTTATTGACGCCCAGAACAATGGCATAGGGTGAGCATTGAATACTTATTTGCTACATGCATGAATGAATGAAGCTACACGGCGAAGGCAGGTTGCGTGGCTGTTGGTCCCGTGGCTGCTGGCCCCGCCGCCTTTTCAGCAGGCTTGCCGCATCTCCTCATTCCCTCACCTTTCTGGCAATAAGGAGTTCCACGTTTGCCCGGCCTCAGGGTCGGGGACGGGCAAAATGCTGTGTCTAAACCCCCCCCCCCGCCCCACGCCTCAGGTAATCCGCTCATTTCTCACACAGACGCAGCTGTTTTCGAGGAATGTCCGGCCGAGCCCGCAGGGTGCAGGCAGCGAGTATCCTGGGACCTTCAGGGGAGGAGGTGGCTCCCACACCCCAATACCATACAGAGAGTCCGAAGAGTCCGGGCCCTTATTTTTCCAATTCTTGATAAACAACCAATATGCTCGCCCTCGCCTCCCCGTGCAGATGCCTCAGGGCCAACTCGGGCTTCGCCACGCACCAAGAGCAGACAGAAGACGCCAAATGGCTATAACTAGGAGAGAGGGAAAGGCAGCCGGGCGGCGTACAGCGCCCACCGTTCCCGCGCGCTTGGTCGCCCGACGCCTCACGGGCGAGGTTGCCTTGCTGGTGGCTCGAGGGCAGGTGGGGGCGCGTGCGCGCAGAAGGGCGGGGGAGGGGCCGCCGCGCGCCAGCAGGTGGGCGCGTTCTCCCTCGCGCGTGCGCGCGTCGTGCCCTCTCCCTCACGTTCCCCGCGCGCTGCGTCCCCTCCCCGCCGGGAGCGCGCGCCTCCAGTCCTCGCGCCAGGTCCTGCTCGGTCTCTTAGAGCCGCACACTCCCCGGATCTTCTGCCACAGCCGTCGCCTTCGCGGCGGCTCTCCAGCCCGGCGCCTCAGCCTCGGCGCCGCATCACCGCGTCCCAGACCTCCTTCCCTCCCTCTGCCACTCCCCCTCCCTTTCCCGCCCTTCTTGCCCACCCGGCCGGCAGAGAGAGCCTGGATACGAAGCAGGCGGGCTTCAGAAGGGGGTTGGAAAAATGGAGGTTCCGCGCCTGGATCATGCCCTCAACAGCCCCACCAGCCCCTGTGAGGAGGTGATCAAAAACCTCAGCCTGGAGGCCATTCAGCTGTGCGACCGGGACGGTAAGAGCGGCCGGGACCGCGAGCAAAGGGACCGAGTCCGCGCCGAGGCGCCGGAGCCACTCTGGCTCCGCCGACGCCGCTCTCCAGGGCGGCAGGGTCTTTTGTTGTCCCTTCTGTGCAAATAAATGCAGATATGGGCTACCCTCCGCCCACAGCCCTCCCCTCACCCCAGAAACAAAAGGACCCCGGGGCTCGCGCCTTGGCGCGGAAAGTCGCCGTCCACAACCGTGGCGCCCTTCGCCCGCCTAGCCCGGACGAGGGCGATGTTCCCGCTCGCGGCTCCTGCCCCGACGAGGCGTTTCCGATCTTTGCCGCAGTCCGAATTTCCTGGGTCGCGGGGCACTGAAGGGGAAATGCCCTCGGGATGTTTCTAGCAACCCCCTTCCCCCAGCACACACACACTAGTTAGCATTCTCTTCCAGAAACTTATCATTTTCTTTTTTAAACCTCCCATCGTCAGACTCCTCACATTAACAAGTCTTTTTAGACTCTTGGATTGGGATTAGGATGACAGTTTTTCAGTGAGGGCGCAGAAAAACGGTGCATTTCAGCACCAAGGACAGACACAATCTTCGTGGTTCTTGGGCTCTGAGTCAGACTGTCGAAAATATTGGCCTAATATATGTGCTGTGATTCAGACTATGTGGCGAGTACGTACCATTGCGTGTTGATATTATATCGTTTATTCTGTTGTTGAAGTTGACAGGCTCCTGTAGAAGGAAATTGATTGAATACAGGTCTGAGCGTTGAAGACATAAGCTAGTGCTATGTGCAGTGGGGTTAGTTACAGCGCTTCTGGGTTAGTTGGACTAGTTAGAGTCTGCTATTTCAGTAATGTGGAACAAAACTTCATTTGTAAAGAAATCGTCTGATTAGTAATTGATTGGCCGAATGATTGTAAAATTCTACATCTGACAAAGGAAACACAGTGCACATGTTGTCAAGAGGGCCCTGAATACTTTTGACTATAAATGAAATTAATGTTTAACTGTATATGAAGGTAATGATTGTAAAACATTTCTTTAACCAAAGTTATGTACAGATGCTAATACGCTCACAGTAAGGTCATAAAATTTATCAGCGTAATCCAAATAGGGAGCAGAGGTCTTGTTTCCAAAGTCATTTAAATGGTAATCACTTGGTTGGTCATTGCTATGCAGCACGTTTATATCAAGCGAGCACCGAGCACCGAATTTGTTTATTAATAAATTTTATATTTATTAATATAAGTTTATATTTAATAATTTTGAAACCAGAATTCAAACTTTTTGAAACCAAAACCTCTTTAATTTCTGAAACAGGTGTAGTATATGAATAAATAAATACACTTGCAAAGGCAGCTTGTATTTCCTTTATTCTTAGACTGTTTTGGTCACCGTGGTAGTAAGTGCACGTATTTATGGTATCTAAAAAAATTTATCATTTTGGTATTCCACATGTAAGCTTGCATGATTATAGACTATGAAGATTATTTTTAATAACACATAGGAAGTAATTTGGATTTTAGTTTATACTTTTGTTAAATGACTTTTTGTAATTAACCATTGCAAGTTGTAAATATTTTTATTTTCTTAGATTGGTTTGAGAGAAACACAAGAATAATAAAAGTAGACTTCATTTTTATTTATTGCAATGATATAGCAAAAGCTCATTCTTGTACTCATTGGAACTAGACATTCATTGTTGCTTTTCAGAACCCAGTAATTTCAATACTTAAAACTGCATTTACCACGTGTTTCAAAGATATTAGGGAAAATTTAAACTTTTTTATGAAGTTCACAGAGTTAACAGAGTGCAAAAATTAATGCTGTGTTTATTGTGATCCCCTAGAGGAGTAGCTATTTTATTCTGATACTATTTTTTAGTTGTTTCTTTTCAAATTAGGAATCCCGCAAAATGAACAAATTATGTAACATTTAATTTTGGGGAGGGTGCTGGCACTAAGCAACATCTATGAAAATTACTATTTGCAGACTTCCAAGTAATTTAACGTAGACTAATTAGGGTTTTATTTTATAAAATAGCATATACCAACAAATACAAAGAGCTAACTCTTCTACTAGAAGATGTATAAAATTTGGAAATACTTTGTTTAGAGATGTTGTTAAATGCTTAACTTATTTTGTTATCCTGTCTTACATGTCAATTCCAAAAATACTAACTTGGCTTCATATGAATAATTCAGGGGCAATAATGTTGTTTGTTTTTAATAGAACAACGTATGAAATGTTGCATTAAATTTGTCAAACAGACATTATTTAGCATCATTTTACATTGAGAAATTTTCAACTGATGCTTTCTACTCCCTTTGCTTCCCTCCTTTCACTTTCTTTCCTCTCAAGTCTCATTATTTTACTTCTATAAATATGTAACATAGAAAAGGATGTGGCAGAATATGGGACAGAAGAGCTATTTATGTGTTTAAGTACCTAATAAGAGCCATATTTCATAATTTATGATAGAATACATTTGTTTTGTTTGCTCTTTTCTCACTTTATTTGAATCTACTGTTAATTTGGTGATGAAAGAAAATGAGAGAAACATTAATTCCCTGGAAGTGGAATAAAATAGAATAGGGGAAAGCATAGTATGATTGTTAAATGTAAATTTTCTTTTACCTTCTCCAATCAGAGATGTTTTTAATTTTATAATATTTTCATACTGTATCAACCAAGAGTTATGCCTGCTGGTGAACATAACTGTGTATCTCTCTCATGTTTCGTTGGGTTTTTTTGTTTTTGTTTTTGTCTGTTACTTGCCTATTTTCCTATGAATTGATGATTACATTATCAATAATAATTCAATTTTTTTCATAGTTTCTAAAAATATTTAATAGTTTCTGAAGAATATGGGTTAGAGTCCACATGGTCATATAATTGGCTTTTCAGTTAAGCAAGACAGTTACACACACACACACACACACACACACACACATACACACACACACTACCTCATGGATAGTCTTTCCTAGGCATGTGTACTTTGTTTGCCAGCACCTGGTCCTTGCCTGAGTGTTACTCTGAAAATATACTGTAAATCTAGAGGTTTCTATTCCTATTGCAAGTAGAAGAGTATTTTTGTTTCTCCATCTCTGCTGTGCTGAAGTATACTCAAATTGCATACATGATGTACTTTTATATGACTTTTCAAATAAAATGAAAGAGAAAATTTCTTGTTTGGAAACATTAATAATATGGGAGCCCATTTACAGTTTGATAGGTACTTCAGACCTTCACTGACCTGTGATGAGACAAAACAGCTCCCACCCCACACACAGAATTTTATATTACTTGTGCTTTTCATCTTTTAATCATATATATACACACATATATAATGTATATTATATATATGTATATGCTTTTTCTTCCTTGTTAAACAGGAAAGATTTATCTACATGTTGCCTTACATGTATCTAAGCTCCCTCCAGCTTCATTATAGTAAGGAAGAAAATACATAATTAATTTGTTTTAAAACATTTAAATCTACCCTCAAGGCTTGTAGCTTTAACAAATATTATTTCTATGAGTAGGGCACTTTATGACTGCCCAGATACGATATAAACCACAGGGTTTATGATGTAGTCAACAAGGAAACACATTGGAAAGAAATTACACAGAAGCTGACAGATTTCCTTGTCTTTGTCTCTAACAATACTTACGTGGAAAAAATGGAGGAAAAAAAGATTTTATCTCTTTTACATATTTAAAAAGATAAATTTCTTTGAATGTTGAGTTTATCAACTTTATTTAAATTGTGAGTCAGTTAAGACCTCATTTATGTTATTGGCATGTGAATTAAACAAATTTTAACTTTGGAAATAAAAGTAACGAATGCTTAGTAGCACAGTGATATTAGATAATCCTTAATGACATTTTCTGAAGCAGACATCTAAGAGGAGTACCCGTAACTGTTACCTTTAATAGTCTTTATTACAAGAATGTAAGGTGGTCATTACTCAGTCTCAGTGACATGCAGTATAGCATAGTGATAATACCATTTTAGATCAGACCACCCTTGTTAGAATATTGACTCTTGAATGCCGCGTAACCTTAAATTACTTAACTTGTTTTAGCCTCAAGCTTTCTTATGTAAAGTGGGTATAATAATACCAATTCTGTAAGATTGTTTAAATAAGTAAATAAAGTATTACTTTCATAGAATTTACCACTCTTGTTATTAACACAAAATAGAGAGTAATAATTATTATTGTGAATAGAATGTTGTCCACATAACTTCTTGAATTGAACCACTGCTTTTTAAAATTTCTTTTTTTGCCGGTGTGTAGATCCTTGTTGTTTTTCTTAATTTCAGTTACATGTTATTTAGTTAGGAAATCACTTCAACTTCATGAGTAATTACTAGAATCTGTAAATTCTGAATTTTAAAGACTAGTAAATTTTGAAATCACAGTTACAGTACTCTTATCTTTTACTTCTCTTCAGCATCCTATCAGTAATATCTTTATCACCTTAGCCCTAAAAATTGTTTTTAATTTCTAGTTCAAATCTGCCGTTCGCTATTTTTCTTGTGCCTTGTAACCTTGATGGTTGCTTTGTTTAGGTATTTTCCTTAGAGCCCTTCTCTATTCTTAATTTACAATGTTTTTCTTTGTTAACTTTTTCCAAGGATAGATATATACTAGGACATGTAGCGTGTAGATTAATTTCTTTGACCCAAATATGACTATAGAGATATTAATGAGTATGAAACAAAATAAAAATAAAATAAAAACTGAAAGAAATAAAAAATTTGAAACCCATCAGATTGTGTTAAACCAATTCATATTCTTGGTAGGGTTCTAATTCATTCCCAGGGAAGACCAGAAAATTACTAGAGTGAAAGTTACATCAAAGGATATGTGACCAGACTCCCTCCAGTGGTAGAATCACTGATGTGTTGTAAGGTTAACACTGGCAACTTTGTTGCCTAGGTAGGCCCGGGTCAGAAATTCAGTCTCTATAGAACACTATTTAGACAGCATTCAAATTACTTGGTTTTAT